GGTGGCCTCAGCCCGAAGGTCTTGAGTTAAATCACCATCTGGCTGTTTCACGTTCTCCGTCTGCGTGGGTTCTCTCTGCGTACTCCGGCGTTCTCCCACAGTCCAAAGACATGCAGGTAGTAGAGTTGGGTTACGTGGTGACTCTAAATTGTCTATAGATGTGAATGTGAGTGCGATGTGTCGTCTGTGCTTCTCGCCCTATAGTAGCTGGAAAAGGCTCCAGCCCCCCAGTGACCCTTAATTGGGTGGATGGAAGTTAATTTTTATCCAGGCAAAACTGAGACGCTTGTGATAAAAATTATTCAAAGAGGTTTAGCTGACTGTCAGAGTTTGTCACTGAAATAGTCATAAACGAGCGCACGTATCAATTTCTGAAGTTATTGTCATTTGAGATCAGAGCCACCGCAACCGAGAAAACCTCAAACACGTGCAGAATCCCCACAGGCTCTTCAAAAACTCACTGAAACTCTTAAGACATGACCCATGCACCGTTTTTCTCCTTTAAAATTTGGTCATCCACTCAGTTTATTTTTTTTCTTTAACAGTTTAGATTTAAAGTGTAAATATCTCTCACGCTTCAGAGTTGTCATTTAGGGACTTTGTTGCCTACAGCTGGAACACCTCTGACCCACCCACACCTCAGACTCAGACCAGTGAACAAAGGCCATATGGACTCCACCACACACACACACACACACACACACTAGAAGTTGAGGTTCTTCGGGACCTCCCAGGGAAACTTCTTCCTGCCAAAGTGTCCGTAGCACGCCGTTTTCTGGTAGATTGGTCTCTTTAGGTCCAGGTCTCTGCAGCAGCAAGCAGTCGACATAGATTCAGTACAGTCTAACAGATTTGGACAGAGATAATCAAACACAGAGGCGGTGATGTGGGTGCAACCCTGACCTGACTATGACTCCAGGTCTGAGGTCGAAGTTTTTATTGACGATCTGCAGAAGCTCCTTCTCGCTCTTTGGAGAGGAGCCGTAGGTGAACAGGGAGATGGAGAGCGGGTGGGCCACTCCAATCGCATACGCCACCTGGAAAAACACAGCATGTGATTAATGAACATGTTGCTTCATCACCACCGTGATGATGATGATAGTGCCACGTACTGCTGGATTTTCCACAATTATTATTATTTATTTATTTATTTATAAAGTCCAAAAAAAGGAGAAACAAACTCCCCGATTCACAGTTTAAAACCATTCTAATTTACTTTTAACCCTTGTGTTGTCCTTGGGTCATTTTTGTCCTCTAAAGAAATCTTTTGCTATCAAAAATGTGTTTTTTATTCAT